TATATATATATATATATATGTGTGTGTGTGTGTGTGTGTGTGTGTGTGTGTGTGTGTGCATGTACGTCTCGCTCTCTCTCTCTATGTGTGTGTGTGTGTAAAACAAAAGAATATAAAGAAGACTCAGTGGGCAATTTTAGATTGAAACTCTGGAAAATTAAATCTACTAATCGTATCTCGTTCAACTTATATGGCTTCACAATATATCTAACGCCACAGTGTAATATTTATCTTTATGAGTATATAATCTATATATTACTAGATTTTATATATAAGTATGGAAGTGGTTTAATAAGTCCAGCTATGTAGGCACTTGAAAACAAGTAATAACCACACTAAACCAATAATACATTTATATCCAACCATATTTTATAGGCAATTTAAAAACAAGAAACCCTTGTAAAAGTAAAAAAAGGGGGTTGAAATAGAAGTAAATGTTAAAACAATAAGCGGTATATGTTTTTCAAATCTAGATGTAAAAGAGTCTGAGATGTTCTGATAACTGATTTGGACAAAATGTTTCTTTTCGTTACTACATTTATCAGTTTAGGTCATTCCAACTTATGTTTGTCTGTTTTATTCACTTGCTTCTCAAACGTCAATAAGTAATAAAACTGTGCTTTAATCATTATGGTAAGGAGGATAAAGTAGGTGCAATTAATGATTCAAACATCCTTTATTGCACATGTAACAGTAACGTCACCTATAGAAATCAATTTCATATATTTTGTTACTAATATTATATTAATTAAACATACTGGATTTTTAAGTTTTTGCGCACTCAAAAGTTAAATTAAAATCCTTTGCAGTACAGCTGTATTGATCCGTAACCTGGTGGCAGACATTCGAACTTTAAAATTCGATGTATTGACTGATATCCAAAAGTAATTGATAAAAATTTGCTCTAAAAAAACGTCTTTGTAACACTTCTTTAGAAATGTTACCACATTAAAGAGGTTTTACTCCATAAAACGTTATATAATACAAGCTACATGCATATATTCCTATATGGCGGACAGGTAGGGAAGAGCTAAGAACTTAAATGTTTAAGGATATTCTTCTTAAGAACATAAAATCTATTTTAACTTGCTTTCAGTTGTAGACCGGGACGTCCACCAAAGAGAGCTTCGGTAACTGGCCTAACAACGTGTGGCAGTCTTCTTAAGAAGAATCGCCTGGATGGAGAATATCACGGTTACAAGAATGGCCATTTAAATGGTATGTTGAACTCGATTGTGAACTAGAGATATACACGTAGGTAAAGTTGTATATAGCCTGATAGGACAGATTGAAATAACCACTTATTTACTTTCTTTTTGTGCAGTAATATCCAAAAAATGATAAAGGTTAAATTAAGGTCAACAAGAATGATTCACTGTTCTATAATTATATATATATCCAGATGCAGTAATATCAGTTCACCAACTAAATATATCCATTTTGAGGAAGAAAATTATCCCTAAAAATGTGTCTGGATCCAGCATTATTTATGTTAAATAGTTGAAAGCAATGTTTAATATTTCAATGTTAAAACTAAAGGTAATATAAATATTTTTCTAGTTACCTTAATTTTTATATCTGTATGTAATACACTAGGAACGTTTAAGAATTGTTCTGTTTAATAACGCTGTTTTACGTATCTCTTATTCAATTGGAAATTTTAGAATGTGCTTAATGAGCTATAGATGTTTGCATTGCAACAGTCTTAAATGATTTAAAAACTTATTATTATTCAAGATATAGATAAATACATACGTTATCCATGTACATTTAGAATAACAGAGAAAACCATCTTAGCCATGTGAATAGTTTTACCCTGTTTTGCTGACATTACAAACAATTACGAAGCCGAGCGCTTTCTGTGATCAACATCTGATTAGGTCATAACTTTTGCTGTTAATAGCCTTAACTAATTAATAGCAGAATTCCTTCACTGTGCTCAATCCGCCTACGTGTAGCACCCCCAAAACGGTTAATATTTTAAGGCTCATTCGGTTTAAAGCAAAGCTTCTATGCACTGATCCTTCCTCGATTCTCTAGTGGAGCTAGGAACTCTCCAGAAACAAACAGAAGCAATTTACAAGAATGGCTATTCTCTAGTGGAGCTGAGGATTGTACAGAAGCAAACAGAAGCAATTTACAAGAATGGCTGTTCTCTAGCGGAGCTTGGAACTGTCCAGAAGCAAACAGAAACAATTTAGAAGAATGGCTGTTCTCTAGCGGAGCTTGGAACTGTCCAGAAGCAAACAGAAACAATTTAGAAGAATGGCTATTCTCTAGTGGAGCTGAGGATTGTACAGAAGCAAACAGAAGCAATTTACAAGAATGGCTATTCTCTAGCGGAGCTTGGAACTGTCCAGAAGCAATTTACAAGAATGGTTATTCTCCAGTGGAGCTAGGAACTCTCCAGAAACAAACAGAAGCAATTTACAAGAATGGCTATTCTCTAGTGGAGCTGAGGATTGTACAGAAGCAAACAGAAGCAATTTACAAGAATGGCTGTTCTCTAGCGGAGCTTGGAACTGTCCAGAAGCAAACAGAAACAATTTAGAAGAACGGTTAAATCCACATTATTTTGATAGGCTAGAAGTCTAACAAGTTAAACTGATACGATGACTGTTTTTGAAGAACCATAGCTTAGGTTAATGAAAATATGAAAAGGAATTTGCATAGACTTGCGGTCCGTATCCTGAATACTGGAGTACATTGGCTAAATGCACGCAACAAATACAAACTGTAATATTTTTAGTTAAACAAATTTACATCAAACATAAGGATGAGTTTCATAGGACTGAAATGACACAGGTGCGTTGTATATGTCTAAATGGCAGAGGTTTAAAAATATAATCATAATTTAAAAGATCTTAACAAGTTAAAAAAGTAAGCCGAAACATGTATTGTAGCTAGGTGAATGTAAGAAACTATGGAATATTTCTTGTGAAATACACTGTGATATCGAGATCATAATTTAAAAGATCTTAACAAGTTAAAAAAGTAAGCCGAAACATGTATTGTAGCTAGGTGAATGTAAGAAACTATGGAATATTTCTTGTGAAATACACTGTGTTATCGAGTAC